GTACGTGCTGTCCCAGAACGTGGTAGTACGTGCCGTGCTGGGAGGAAGTATGAAGAACTCTTTACAAGTCCACAACAGAAACCCGTAGCCATATAGCCCTTTCTTGCTCTAAGAGACCCCATTCATGAACGGTCACACGGAGACCCTAAAACCCCGGAATTTCAAGCGAACTTTAACTCTAGAAAGGGAGGGTGGGTAGTCTCCTCGTCCAACGACACCTCTCCAACCACCTGGTTGTTGAGTGGTCATCCGTTAGAGTAAGCAACAAAAAAAGATTGTCGGCAACACAAAGCGCAGACCTGCCTGTGCGCGCGTTGTCTCCACTTCGCCGCCTACTTGTACTACTATCAGTTTCACAGAGGGGAGTTGATGCACCACGAAAGTCGATAAGAGTTTGGGTATGAATGCAAATAATCTGAGGCGATAAGCTGCATCGCCAAGATCGATAAGAGAACTTCACACAACCTTCAGAGTGTGGTCAACAGAAAAGGTAAAGGGTTCGTACTTTATTGCAAAAGGAAGTACAAGGCAGTTCTCGACAGACAATACGAAGAGCAAAAACTCCTACTTCTACTATTGCTGGACACTCGTATCCAGCAGCAACCAAACTCGAACAACGCAATCTACGTCACTATCACTTCCTACCGCTGCGGCATTGTGAACTCGTCTCAAAAGCGACCCGAGAAGTCAGTTGTGGGCTCAAACGGGGAGTACAGACTGAAACACTGAAAGCCCGGGGAAGGAACAGATGGAATGACACTACTGTCGGCCGGAGGGTTTTAGCCGAGGAAACCTCTTGCGGTTAACGGTACCGGGTCCGATGTAAGAGAACGAACCCACAAGACACCCTACACGAGTCTCCAGGGTAGTGAACTCGGCGTGGAGTATGCCAGGTAACTTAGACGCGCTTATTTTGGCTCTTTAGCGATCCTTCTATCTGCACAGTTGTAATCAAGGGACCATTTCCGGAACAACGGTTGCACATGAAAAGCTATCCGAAGCCAACGAAAACAGAGCAGTTCCTACCCTGTGCACGCAATGCACACGAAAATGTTTTCTTTACCTTATCAAAAAATTCATCATCGAGCACAATCCAATTTCAAGCACGGTTCTTTGCCCACCCCTCCCTTTTTGCAGTAGTTTCGACTCAGCAAGGACAATTTCAGCAAGATTTTTGTGGGGCGGCGGGTTCTGAACGAGTTCGCAACGCTGCTGAGAAAGAAAAAATAGAAGGGGATTCGCGAAAGAATATTCGCCATCCGCAGATGAAGCCCAGGGCTTACGCTCCGTTTTCGGCCTCAGAGAAAATACGTACGGTCCACATGTGGGCGCTTAAGGTTCGAGGGGGAAAAAAATTATTCCCCCCTATGGGCGGCGGGCAAAAAAAAATAGCCTCACTACTGGACTTGGCGACACCTGGCTGCCGCCCTTGGCGACTTGTGGGCCTAGACTCCCCTGCATGTGGACCAACCTGCGGCAATCACATGTGGGGGAAGAAATAAGCCAAAATCCACATGTGGTACCTGTGGATCCACACGTGGGGAAATAAAAGTCCGAAAAGAATTAACGTGTGGAAATCCACACGTGGAGCGTAAGCCCTGATGAAGCCGGCAGGCCCGTCTCGCCAGTCGCCCCCCGTTCCGTCAGCGCGCACTTGTTCCTCTCGCTCGTACTCTGTTCTTCTTCTTTTTCTTTTTACAGAGAGAGACGTTCGCGGCCGACACACTTCGGTTCTACGTTTGCTTTGCAGCATATTCATTTGCGTCACGCAGCGGCGCGGCCGAAGCAGTGGCACCTTAGGTCAGCTCTCGGTTCATCCCGCATCGCCAGTCCTGCCAGAAGTGGCCCACTCAGAACCAGGATACTACGTCAGGTCATTGAAGTAACCCCTCTGTTCACGCCCACTTAAAGTTTGAGAATAGGTCGAGGAAGCGATTTTCCCGATGCCCCAATCATTCGCTTTACCTGGCGTAACTTCTGTTTTGGTTCTAGCCAGCGCTCTCTGTCAAAAAGAGAAGCAGTAAGTTCGTCGGACTGCGGTCGCCATGCTGTTGGAAACTCTGATACTGAGCAACCGCCCCAGAAAAAGTGAACCTTACGCCCAAGTTAGGGTACTCTCGTGCGAAGAGGCTTGGCAGGAGTCTTGCCAGGTGTTGGTGGAAGCACGGTGCACGAGAAATCAGGGCTCGGAGTCCGAACTGCGGGCTCGAACCTTTCACTTGTTTTGTAAAGGTTTTCCCTTCAGTTTTTGCTCGGAGTTGCCTTGTACTCACACTGTGTCATTTAGTCACGACAACAACGTGTTTCTAACAGGCAAGCTGCAGTTCAATTGTAATACACTAGTGTATTTGGGGAGGGTCTGAGACCCCCAATTCCACGGCGTGTATCGTTATATTACAATTGAACTCAGTTGTAATATAATTGTAATTGGCCCCCCCCCAGTAATTTGACTCAACACGAGGAATTTTACTAGGTCAGGACGAACTCAAGGATTGACAGATTGAGAGCTCTTTCTCGATGAATTGTGTGGTGGTGCATGGCCGCTCCTGGTTGGTGGAGTGATGCGTATCGATGATTGCGGTGTCTTTTGGCATCGGCGGCTTGCTTGAGGGGACTGCGCCCACCCAGCTTTGACGAACGGTACGACACAATTGCTGAGAGCCGCACCCGCCAGCGAGTGCACCCGCCAACAACAACGAGCCGCCAGCGGACGTCGAGCGCCTCGACGGGGTGCTCAGCGGGCTCCCTCGCCTGCAGCAAAAAAAGTTGCTCGCTGCGGATTTGGTTTGTTGCCCGCATTGGGCCCAAAATGTTACTGTTTCGAATACAATCCGTCACCTCAGGCGTCCGACCCGCAAGAAGGAGCAACCGGGGCGGGGGGGGGGTGGTTGGGGAAGAGCGGGGAAGCGTCGGTGATGCGACGGTTATGACATGAACCGTCTGCAGCCGCTGCCGCGGGGGCTGGGCCGCGGCCGCGCCGCCGCGGCCGGCGGCGGCGGCGGCTGTGTGCAGTTCCGCGACAAGCTGCCGCCAGCGGACGTCGAGCGCCTCGACGGGGTGCTCAGCGGGCTCCCCCGCCTGCAGCAGCGGCAGCTGCAGCAGCAGCAGCAGCCGAGGCGCGGGTCGCTGCCCAGCCCCGGGGCTGCCGCGCCGGCGGGCAGGGCGCGGCTGCCGTCGCTCGCCGGCCGCAACCGCGGCGCCGGCAACCCGGCGCCCCCCCGCGCCGGCGGGCCGCAGCCCGAGCCGCAGCCGCTGAAGCTGACCGCCAGCTCGCTGCGCCGGTTCCAAGCGCTGTCGCACCCGTCCTTCCGGGCGAAGCGCGAAGCCGCCGGGCCGAAGGCAACCCGAGCCGCCGGCCTTCCGGCCAGGAACAGCTTGGGCCCGGTGCTATACCCCTTCACTCGCCCGGCCGCTGTTGTTGGCCGCATCGACAACAACGACGACGAGAACCCCCAGGGAGCCGCGAGCGGAGATGCCTCCAAAACCTCCTCCCTGACGACCGGTCGGCAAGGATCGAGTACCGTCCGGGCGCGGACGGTGAAGCGGAGAGCGAGCAAGGTGGAGGATGACGCTGGCAACCCGTTCCACCTTCCGCCGCTGGGCGCGAGCCCGGCCCCGCTGCTGCCCGTCCGCGCTGTGCTGCGGCGGTTCGAGAGAGAGACGAGGGCCGAGAAGGCGCGGCGGCAGAGGCTGGCCCGGATGGAGGCCCGGGCGCCGGTCTCGACGAAGACGGTCGACGAGGCGCTGCGGGACGCCCTGCCGCCCCTTGGCCAGGCCGTGCCGGGCCTGGCCAACGCGCTCGACTCGTCCATCTGCGCGCCGTCGACGCCGCCGCCGTCGGGGGCGAAGCTGCGGACGTTCTTCGCGGTCGTGTTCGCGCTGCTGGGCACTGTGCGGCTGCGCGGGCTGCTGCGCGCGAAGCGGCGGCGGCGGCTGCTGGCCCTGGTCAACGGGCTCCAGCAGCAGCGGGCCGCGCACACCGCGCTCCCGGCCGCCGGGCTGAAGACCCTGGTGCACGGGTTCAAGGCCTTCGCCGCCGGCAGCCTGCTCGGCAGCGTCAACGTCCGCACGCTGCAAGCCGCGGGGGTGAAGCTTGACGTGCACTTGGACCCGGGACTCCTCAAAAAGCTAGACCGCGACAAAGACGGCATCGTCACCTTCCCCGAGCTCCTTCGTGTCGTGTATCCCTGCGTCCCCCGCCGTGTGCTGGAGGATGCAGTCAAAGCAGTCACGCGGAACGTCGAGAGTGCGTGGGACGCGCTGTTCACGCCGGAGTGTCTGCGCGACATAGCGGCGGTTTTCCGCTACATGACCCGCTCTGGGTCGACGAGGCTGACGTTTCCCGTCTTCCTGTCGTTCGCGCCGAGCGAGGGCGTCACCGAGCAGGAGCTCTACGCCCAGTTCTGCGAGGCGGACAGCGACTGCGACGGGTGCCTGTCTTTCCAAGAGTACGCGCTCTTCATGCGCGCGGCTTTCACGAACGAAGATGACGTGCTCTAGCGCGCCGCCGAACCTTCGTTGCGCGATCCATCGAGCCGAGACACTAAAACCCCCCGAGGCCACCCTTGTGCTCCAAAAGACTTATAGTTGCAAGTGTGGGGGGCAGCTACGGTAGCTGGTAGTTAGCTCAAAAATCGGGTAGGTGTGGCAGATAGCCTGACTGCCCCCCCGAGTTCCTCCTTTTACGGCAGCTTGCCGCCCTTGCCGGGTTGCTTCCGGTTTCTCCAGGCGCACCCCGCGGTATTGCCATAGCGCGGAGTGTAGTTTGCTGCGCTTGCAGAAGAAACCCCTCATGTGTCGGTCAACCGCGTTGCCATTCCATGTTGACATACCTTTGTTCGCAGTTGCGGCGACGCAGGCGCGCCGCAAGCAAATCAGTTAGGAAGACAGCAACAAGCAAGTAGAAACAGCACTTGATGAGCAGCAAAAGCTTTAGGTTACGCCGCCAGCATCAGAGCCGCGAAGTTAAGATTGAAATTTGATATTTGGGCGCGGCATCGGGTCGTGTAGCTCAGTCGGTAGAGCATTGGTCCAATAAGCCAACGGTCCCAGGTTCGAGCCCTGTCACGACCACTTTTTCCGCCCGGCGCCTGCAGTTCGTTGCAGTCAATGTGACCCAAAATTCCGGTTGGCTAAGAAGGCGTTCAGCCAGCGGTAGCCCAAGGGCTCCAGATTTTGGCAAGTTTTGGGTCTGGAGTCGGACTGGACTGTGCCAAAGTTCTTTGGGTTGATTTTTTTGGTTCAAGGTTCTGGTCCAAAGTTTGGATCCGCGTAAGCGTGCAAATACCCTGCCAATTTGAGTTGGGAGGGACACGTCGATAATCCTTGAGTGGGCATATAAGTGCATGATTGCGAAAAAAAAAAGGCACGTGACTTTCCCACCATCTATCTCTGCGAGCAAGGCCAGGTCAGACAAACGAGTTTTGTGAGCACTGACAAGAGAGAGAGAGAGAGAGAGTGTGTGTGCTGCATGCGCACTTCAGGAGTACCCTCCGGCCAAGTGGCCCAAGTGGCTTCGAGCATTTATTTGCCATTCGGGCACCCTCACACTCAGGGGGGGCAGCTGTGAGGCGAAACACGCTCTGTACCTTGCCTGGACTGCGCGCGAAATTTTTCGGAGATAGCAAAAATCGAGCGCAGCTATGGTGGTGCGAATACCCCGGCCCGCAGTGCTGTGAACCACGGCTGGGTAACTCCGCCACTGCCAGTACCCCGGTCCAGCTGCCCGGGATCCCGTGACCGTCTGTGCCGAAACCTTTGGGCTAGGTCGACGACGCCACGCCAAAGGGCGGGCTCTGTCTTTTTTGTGGTAGCAACGCGTTGTTGGTGCTAAGACGTCTGTATATAGGGTCAAAAGAAGAAAAAAACAATGGTCGAAATCGCGCTTCCGGACTGCTTGCCGCAGCTTGACGAGTCGCAGGTGTCGCACTCTGTCGATGCCGAGAGGAAGCGATCGTCGCAAGACACGGCCACGGCGCACATTCGAAAGAGGGAGACTGCGGAGGAGCGGACGGAAAAAGTGCGCGAGTACATCAACGACACGCAGCTCGCCCCGTTCTTGAATGTAATGCTCACGGACCTGTACCGGGACCTGCCGAAGGATCCGATCGACTGGTGCGTGGAGTTCCTTGTCCGGCACGAAGACCTCAACGCCATCGGGCAGAGGGAGAAAGAGATGCAACCCGTGAAGCCCACCCACGAGATCCGGCTCTACTCCGCGTTCTGGAAGATCCCGTTTCTCTTCGACGACTTGCTCGGCGCGCTGCTCGAAGACAAGCCCGCCGAACCGGATCGATTTGCAGCGGCGTGGTTTCGGTGGAACCGCCGGTCGTTCCTCACGCGGCACTTCAAGCAAGGGTATCCTCAGGTGCAGCCGCAGATCGACTTCTCCGCCGATGCTTGAGCAAGAATCCGCACAGCCCGGCCACGTTGTTGAGCGTGGTGCTCGAACCTGTATACAGGGACCTCAAAACGCACACGAAGGTTCTGGGACCCGTCTTTCTCTTCGACGTTTGCTCGGTGCTTACCTGGAAGGCAACCCCGCTGAGGCGGATTGCTCCGCAGCCGCGTGGTTTCTTCGGTCGAACAACCGACCGTTCATTTTAAGCAAAGCATTCCAGGTTCAGCCGCGGGTCGACTTCTCCGACGAAGCTTCAACCAGAAAAGTGGGATTCACACGCTTTTTGACCATCCTCGAACCAAACTTGGGGACCTCAGACCGATTGAGGGCCATCAATGCAGCCGTGAACGACCTCGAGGGAGTCTGCTACTCTGTTACTCGACGCTCTAGGCGATCCCGTTTCTGTTCGACGACTTGATGCGCCAGAACACATCGTGCGCGAAAGCACGACGACAAGCAACAATCATCGTCCTTGCCCCATCCCCGGCCACCCCCGCCGCCGCTGGCTCTTCCGAGCGCTGCGGCGGCGCAGGAGCGCCAAAAATACGATCTGGCAGGCAAGAAGCTTGCGGCAGTGCTACTTTTCTTAGTTTTGGTGTTCCTTTCCAACCCGAAAATACGCGCGACGCACTCAGCTGGCTGCCGGAGATCTGTGTATGCGCTAAACTTGAGCGCAGACCTCAGCTTAACCCTCCTTGCCAGTACGAGTCGCTCAGCTTCAAAGTGTCAAGTAGCTTTTCGCTCGGGCGAAGTAGCTCGCGCCCCAGTCAGGCTGGGGACCTCACAAACGAGAAAGCCACCTTAAAGGCGCCAGCATTGCCCAGTCAGCCCAGCCCCACGACAACTACATCGATTTTTGGCAGCTCTCAAAGTTTTTAAAGCTCGTCTTCCGACCAAGTCGGGAAAGCCGCTACGCGGCCGGGCTTGGCAGAGGGATATTTGCCGCGATTCGCTTTGCCTACGGGTAAGACGACAGCTTCGGACCCCTTTTTCTGCGTTAGACTAACTCAGTTTTCCTACGAGACACCTGTGGATGAGACTGGGAGTGCACGGCAGATCTCAAATACAAATTCGTGGCGTTTGGTGAGGTGGCCCACTGACTACGTAGGTAGGTATGTAGTGCTAGTAGGTGGTGTACCACCCCACATACACACGCCGATGTCCTCGTAGCACTACGCTGCTATGGGATAGTGGTCCTCGTAATGAACACGCAGGTTTCCGGGGAAAGCGGGGCAGGATGCCCCCCACGGCGGTGAAAGATGAAATGTGGCTCGGCGTCGTGCAGCCCGGGTACCAAGTCGCCGAGGGCGAGGAAGACGCGTACTTCAGCAAGATCGGCGGGGACCCGAAGTGGGTGTGGGGCCGGCCGCTGCCCGTGCGCTGCGGCGCCGGCTGCGGGCAGCCGCTGCCGCTGGTCGCGCAGCTGTACGTGCCGCTCGACGTCTTCGACCGCGTGCTGTACGTGTTCGCCTGCCGGAACGAGGCGTGCCAGCTCGACAGCCGGTCGTGGGCCTGCCTCCGCGCGCAAGAGTACAACGCGGACTACGACACGGGCGCCCCCGCCGCAGCCAGCCGACCCCAGGCGCCCCCGCCACCGGCAGCGGCCACCTTCGAAGTCGACGACGACTGGGGCGCGGGCGACGACGACGATGGCGGCTTCTCCGACACGCCCAACGCGTTCGGCTGCGCGCCCGTCGCAGACGCGCCGCAGCCCAGCGGCGCGGCCGCGCGGGCGCCGCCGGTGGTGCAGACGGCCGTGTGCCGGGCGCCCGCGGCGGCCGGCCCAGCAGCGAAGGAGAAACCCGCGGCGCGGTTCCCGATGATCCCGCTGGACGTGGTCCCGGAGCCTTCGGAGGACGAGTCGGCTATCGGCACCGAGCTGAGGGACATCCGGGCGCGGTACCGCGACGCGATTCAAGCCTCGACAGGTCCCGCGCCGGCGGTCGCACCCGGGGCTGTGTCTTCGCAGCCGGCGGCTCCTTCGGGCGGGTATGCGACGGAGGAGTACGAAAAATACGGGTCGCAGGCAAAGCGGGCCTTCCTCAAGTTTACGCGGAGGTTGCAGCGGTGCCCGATGCAGGTCATCCGCTGCGCCTTCGGGCGCGTGCAGCACTTGTCCATAAACGGCCGAGCGCACCGGTCGGTAGCCCCGTGCCCCAACTGCAACGCCAGCCGCAGAGCCGAGTTCCAAGTGCTCTCTACGGCGCTCAACTTCCTGCAGCCTGCCGCGGCGTCCGCGCTCCCTGTAGACCGGAAAGCCGCCAAAGCCATCGCCTTCGGCACTGCGACGGTGTACACCTGTTCCAACAACTGTTACGCCGGCGACGGTTGTTACCTGCAGGAAGAGATCATCGTCGACATGGAGCCAGACTTCGCCGAATAAAGAGAAGACTCGCTTTGTGTGCGTCCTTGTAGCTCTGGACAGAATCATCCGCGGGCGGCAGTGCCGCTCGGAGTCAAATACTCGTGCAACGCGACGCAGGGGAGCACCGGGTTTCCCACAGCGCGCAACATATTGTTGGCCAGAAAGCCGTGCACGCCCGCTCCCACAACTGCACCAGCACCCGGTGTTGTCTGTAAGATGAGGTGTCGACGTGGGGTCCGGGTTTGCTTAACTCTGAAAACATGCCCACGCGTATCTGAAGAAATATATGGACCACGTATCGTTGGCTCGCGTGGATGATGTGAACTCGTTGTGTACAGTGCCCGCGCAATGCATTCTCGCCACTGGTGGTGGTGCTGGTTTCCGCATAAGCGCCCTGCTTTGTGGGAAGTACTCGGGGAGGCCGCCAGGTGCTAAATCACAAACGAACCCAGAGCCCACAGCACATACGGGAATGTGCTGCAGCCCACACGAAACAAGTATGGTTGGGTTTCGTGCCGGGTGGAGGTTCGAAAAGTATCAGAGGTCTTTCACCACGCCACGCGCCCCCCAACTGAATTGCCTCAGCTGGAACGCTCGAGTTCATTCGACATCAGGACATCCGTCGCTATCACGACACCTAGCCTTGCCATCGTGCACCAACAACTTGTCGACGCAGCCCTTGCCTCCTTTCGCTCGGCGCAACAACCTTTATCTCTCTCGGCGTTCGCTTCAGATCACGCGGATTAGATTTTTTGCTTGACAGCGAGAGTTGCATCCTCGGGCTGACCGGCTGCGCGCATTGTCCCGTCCTTCTTTTCGTTACCTATTTTCATATCGATACGTAGCGAAGGACAATTCGATGACAGCGCGTTTGGGAGAAGATTGCCCAAACGATTGTGCTCGCTCACAACCAGGCCAGTCCTTTCCCCGGCATCTTCCGCAGGGCACCCCTTTCGTTCACTCGGGGATTTACCGCTGCTGCTCTTGTGGATACGTGACGCCTTCGCTGAATGCGCCTCGCTCCTCACCATGCCACTACATCTGCAGACATTTTGGCTACTTCCTGATGAGAAATCCGCGGCTTTGTGGGCGTAGTTTTGGAATCGCGGTTTTCAGCTGATGACACAACCTTACCTATCATGCGTGTCTTTAACCTGACGTCAAGTTTGATGATACATTTTGGCTACTTCCTGATGAGATATCCGCGGCTTTAGTATGGGCGTAGTTTTGGAATCGCGGTTTTCAGACAACCTTACCTATCATGCGTGTGCTACTTCCGCGGCTTTGGTGTTGACGTAGTATGAAATC